ATATTTTCAGGAACCTGACACATGAGTTCCTGATAACAAGAAATGATAGATGGAGGACAGTGCTCTCCCATTTTGGAAGCACATGCAGTCCTTTCACATAGGCCTCCGCTAGTAAGTGATTGATGCACTGCAGAACGATATATCTTGACCTCTCTACTGGGGGGAATGAACAGTGACTCAGCCCCTCAGCAACAGGACTGCCTGCTTGTCAGCTCCTGGAGAGACCATGGCAGCCACACAGTTTAAATTGAACAAAGGGGAACATCTTTTCATTGCAGTGATGTGAGCTCACACTGTATTCACTGTTCAGCAGGGCTTTCAGGAGCTCAGGAACAATTTCAGTCCCATGAACATCAGGCAAAGCTTATTTAACAGACTGGGCATTGTATCCAGAGCGTGAAAGAGGAGATGGTGCCCTTGTCAGCCTCCAGTGAGAATATTCTTCGGACTCTGTCAATAGTGCGTTTTTAATTATTAATAGTATTTTGCACTTTCCTCCTTGATCCTTACCATACCAGAATATTACTGTTCTTTGTTTGATTATAATTAATTTAATGTTATCACAGTATTATATAATAAATGTGCAAAGCAGATAAAGGCACTGGATCTGGTTTTAGCTTCAGTTGTGTGTCCTATTTTTTCATATAACCTGTCAGTCCAATAGCCTGTCACTGAAACACTTTCAGCCCCCTGGTCTGAGTGAACCTCAACCAGTCAGCTGTCAGAAAAATGGATACGTATTTGGACCAACTCACCATTGGAAAGATGTTGATTTTGAAGTAATGTAACACAATGTTTTTCTTATACACCATGCGGAAGATACCTTTTAATTAAAAAAATGTTTTGATCCCTGGAATTGAGTACTAAACTTAAACGTTCTCCCTTTTCCTGAAGACTCTGTGACACACAGAAAGTGACCGTGCTGAGATGTATCCTGGTTTCCTCGCCCTGGGGCTGTCCCTGTATTTATCAAGGCAAGGGGGCGTGATATTTATTGAAAGATAAATTCTTCAGAGAGATGTTACTTTTTAATCTTCTGGGTCAAGGGTTAGGTTTCTGATCCTTATTTTTGTTACAGCGGCATTATTAGTTTATCTGGAGGTGAATCTTTTGTTTTTGTTCCAAGGAATCCCAAACATCCCGTGTCAGCTGCCGGGTTACTTATCTCCAGCCCCTCAGCCCACCGCCGGCGCAGCTCGGTCAGCGGGGCTGCGCGGGGTCTGTCACCCCACTCTGAGCGCCCCGCACACCGCCAGGCAGTACCTGGAAAGATCTGCCGGGTTCGTCCACAGGAGTCTGGCATGACCTCGCTGGGAGTTGTGTTTTTAGACCGCCGTCGTGAACGGAGAAGTTCTGATGCACTGTGGGAGCACGGCACCCTTCCCCCTCACCCTCACCAGAGGGGGAGTGGCGGTTGTGTAGCACGCCTGTCTGTCACAGCTTGTGCCCCATTGAAACACGCCTGAAGTCTTAACTTCACAGATCTCAACCTCGTCTGGCAGCTGCAATTTGTCTTTGTTCTTACGCACATGATACCGTTCACAAAAAAAGTTGCAGGTCCCAGGACTGAAACACAGGAGACTCTGTGGGCAGCTAGACCTTCCCAATCCCACAGGCAGGAGGCAGGTCAGCACAGTGCAAAACACACAGGGGTAGTTCAAAGAGCAGCGTCTTCGGACCTCCAGTGACGCCAGTAATTAGATCAGTTGAGCACCGAGACCTCACTAGGACTTTGACTTTTTTAAACTAATTCACAAAGACACAAACATACACAATCTCTTAACTGTGTTGCTTTTTAATTATTGCATAACCCCTGCAATCTGGAAACTTCAGCTGTTTCTCCGCGCCCCCGCTCACCACACTGACCGCTGCACCTACAGGGGCGGGATGAGGGCATGCCGATGGAATCGGATCGTGCCCGTTCGTCTCTCGGCACACTCCAGAGAGACCTCGGCACCCCAGCCCTGGTCCTGCACTTCCAAAGCAGCCAGAGTCTCTCCCCTTCTCAACAGAATTCCCTTCAAATCCCAGAAGAGGGGTGGAGGGAAAACAAACAGTCGGGAGACATAACTCATGAACAGTGGCTCAGGAATGTTCTTCCATGCATGAATATTAAGAAAACGTTCAGTACAAGAAGCCTGGGGCTCATCCAAGGAATTTTACAAGGTTTTCAGAACAACTGAAAATCTACTGTCGAATCAATGTCTCTCTCCACTTGTTTTGTTAAAGATAGAACAACAACATTTTTCTTAATAAGGGTAATTAGTTTCCCCATTAAACAAAATGCATACCACAGCATGCTCATGCTCTGTCCTGTGTAAGGCTGCTTTGTGGTATAATAACAGGGAATTAACGACACCTAAGGGATAAGGAGAAGCTCAGCTCTTTGCTTATCCTCTATCGCAGCAATTTAATGTACAGCTTCATAAACCGCACTCCTTAAAGCATTTGATACTCTGACAGCCTTATGGCAAAAACAGCTGGAATCTCCCTTTTCTCTTACATAACCAATAAGACTCTGTTGGTAAACCAATGAACTCTTAACTGGGCTCCCAGAAAGGTAATATATTAACCTTATTTTAACTTGACTTGATTAGAAAAAAACTTAAATTTACTTAGGGTCTGCAAACCAGTTCAACCTTTTATACGTACAATAATATATACAGTATACTATATACTGGATGAGGTTTCCTTGAGACCAATAGAAAATAGTGTTATTACATATAAATGTTACATATTAATAATGTATTTAAAATAATTGTGTTATACTGTTAGCAAGACACACGTCTTTGTTCCTTAAACTACACATTTAGAAGCAACAGTGTTCTGTATAAATAATCCAAATGTAAGAAAGTGACATGTGTCTCTTCTGTGGTACAGCTCTGCTCTTTGCTAGCCAAAGACAGGGGATTTGCCGTCTTTAAAGAGCACAGTGACTGACTGGGCCGCCCTGGAGCTGGGACCAGGAGCGTGTGAGCAGTGCAGCAGTAAAGACAGACCTGGCACAGACTGCTGCCACACACACCCAGCCTGCAGGAAAGGCAGCTGATGTTATGAAAGTGACATTTTAAGGAAATAAAAATTTCTTAATTGCACAGGCATCCAAGTCTCATTAGCAGGGCGCTGTGGTCCTGGTAGGGGCTGTAAAGACAGATGTACTAACTACTGCAACAAGAGCATCCAGGAGAGTGCATATGAGTGCATTTCTCCTGTAGCCAAGATGGTCTTGTGTTTTTCTGTTAGGATTAAAGTGGTAGCTGATGGTCCCCACATTTCCCGTTGTGATAATGATTCTTATTATACTGTTAACTCAGTTCTTAGGTGCGTTTTCATTCCTCAACTAAATGCAACCAGATGGACATTGAAACAGAGTTCAGGTTCCGGTCTGGCCTTTTACTGTATTGCACAATATTTGTTTAGGTAATAAAGTAAAAGTCTGGTGCTCTGGAATGTGCTCTTTGGTGATCTGAGCAATCCAGCCTAATTAACAATGGAGAGCTGTAGCTGTGTTTGATTTATGGGTACATGGTGTCTAATCCTTTTTTCATTTCAGAAAGTGAACCAATGCTATTTAAATATAACAGGCGACAGCACAGAAATCAATCAGTTCATCTGAATGGCAGAAAAGAGTGATTCCTCGTCTTTGCTGTGTTTCAACATGTCCTTATGCACATCCCTTACAAAACAGGGATGCACTGGCACTAGCTCTGCAGGGCTCCTCGTGGGTAGAAGATCCACATGAAAGTCTTGAGCGGGTGAAATGGTCAGCCTGTGTGATTGTGCAGCTGCCCCCTTGTCACTGTGGCACAGAGGATCTCAATGGGCCACTGCAGCCCCTGATGGTACAAACCAGCTGAGGCTTCTTTGATCTGGAGCAGTCACAGAACTTCAAATAAGCAGAACTTCAGATAACTTCCTATTTATCCTTTTAAAAACTTTTAATTTTTCCCCCTTTCTCTTCCCTTTTAAAGGAATGAAGAGGACATGTAAACACGTTACTCTGCAGAAGACTGCTGTCAGATACCAGGTTAGTGTTCCAGCACATTAGAGAGAAGCCCAGCGCTGTTCCTGCTTGCCAGTGAGGGCCTCTTTTACCCCCCGTCATTCAGCAGCACTCTAAACAAGTGAACACAGTACGTGCGCAGCTCAGCTCTCCAACCTCATTTCTTCACTCCTGCATGAAAGAGCTCTCTATTTTTAAAATGTAAAGTTAAAATGAGATATAAGCTAAGGTTTTTTGTGGTTCCAAGAAAATATATTTCCAGATATATAAACCCTGACTTACACATTGAAATATACACTGACAGGCCAAAACTCTTGTGTTGTACTGCTATTGCCTCTCAGTATATAAGGTTTAAAAGGAAATTGTTTGATTTGCTCTGAAAGGAATTTGTCTGGAAGAGAAAAAAGAAAGGGCAAACCTCTGAGCCATCTGTATGAATGGCTCTGGGCCCCAAACAACACACTGACAGGCAGGCAGGTGTGTCTCTGCACAGCTGACTCACTACCAGTCCTACACAGCACAGCCACTGACCCTCCACAGCCACGGCTCAGTGTGACCTGAACTCTGTTCTTGAACCGTGGCAGAGGGGACCCTGCAGGGCAGAGCTTTCTACTTGGGAGGCATTGTGGACCACTGGAGAGCCCCCCTACCTGCCTCAGCCTGCACACACAGACACACAGCTCTCGTTCCTGCTCTCCCTTCCTAACATCAGGACAAGCCTCCCACAGTGAAGAGGTGCCGCTGTCAAGAGCACATGCTACACGCTCGGTCTAATACCCACTTTAACCCCACACTGACAACAAAGGACATTTTAAAATCTGAGCATGCCTGAATTTCTTTTCCCTTCACAGAAGGCTGGACAACTGCAGTCATGCAGCATGCAAACTCAAACTCAGCAAACCCCTTCCACCATCTCTGGAGGGGTCAGCTTTTACAGGATAGAGTCCCGACCCTAGCGCTTGCTCAGACACTCCCCCCCTCCCGGGTCGGGCCTCACCTTCTGCAGCCACTGTGTGTTGTTCTCCATGGCGCTCTCCAGGTGCTGCAGCTTCTGCACCGACCACTCGTTCTCCGCTGGGGGGGCGTCTCTCTGAACCACGTTGATGTTGCCATACAGGTCCGGAGCCCCGCGGCAGCTGTCTGCCTCAGGCAGGATGAAGGTGTAGCTGCAGTGGCCGTGCTGGACCCTGTGGAGCCGTCTGCGCCCCTCGGCTCCACGCCGCTGGCCCCCACCTCCGGCCGAGCCTCCGGCCACACTGACCACCAGCAGCCCCAGTCCCAACACGCTCAGCTGCATCGCTGCTCTGCTCAGCTGCGTCTCCGGGGCTGACTGCAGTGTCTAGGTGTCCTTCATCTGCAGAGGGTCTGCAATACAAGATTCTGCATGCTTTCAGGTCCCAAGCTATTCAGATCTCTTTTTGCTCTCTCCTTTTTGTTAAAAACTAAAAACGATTTTATTTTTAGCAAAAACTTTTTGCTAAAAACTCCTTATAATTTTCTTTCTTTAGCACAGTGTTTAAGCCTGAGACCTTTCTCTCCGGGGATGGAGTGTCTCTCTAAGTCTCCCTGGCCCGAATCCGTGTGTGAGAGCCAGACTGAGCAGAGTCTACAGTGACCCATGGGTAGCCACAGAGAAGGAGCTGAAATTCTGAGTCCCTCTGTCTTCACCAAAAAAACCCCACTTCCCTCCCATCCCACTCCAGTGGGTCGAGTTTCACAGATGACCAAAATGAAAAAGCACTGCCCCCTTATCAGGAGGGCGGGGAAATCTGCTATCAGCCCTCTCTGTCCATCGCAGGGTCAGGAGCAGACAGCCCGCTTTCCTGCTTTCCACTGTGTTTCCTTACCTTGTATAAAACAAAATAAGCTTATCAAGCTGATGAAGCACAGATGTAGTGAAAGAAAGATGCAGAAAACAAAAAAAAAACAAAGGAGACATGAAAGAAATGAGCTGGTATTGCTTATAAAATCCACAGTAACATGTCGGAAAAGTTTTTCTTCTGAGCCAGACAGAATTTGATTTTGATTTGTCCCTGTCATGCCTTGTTCTGAGAGATTTTCAGTTCATTATGTTGGCTGTTTAGTCAGTTATTTACATGGAAGCTTCTTTTTAATGCTAATAGAGCTCTAGTTTGGCCCCTGTCATGGCATCTTTTACATGCTCATTTTTAACAAAGCCCCTGTTAAAGCTTATCGAGTTTTCACTTCAGATGAGTGATCCAGTTTTCTAAAACTGCTCGAGCTAATCATGTCAAATGTAATGAAGACATGATCACATAGAGCACCTGCAAAAAAAACAAATGATAGCTTTAAAAGAAGGAGGGTAAACACAGGCTTCCTTGAGGCACTCAAATTGGAGTTTTAAGCAGCGGGTCTTTGTAGACACTGAAACATGCGAACTGAAAGATGACTGAATGAAACAGGAGGAGAACACAGTGCAGGTGATCCTGAGATCACTGAGCTACTAACCAACAAACTAGAAGGGCCCATCTCCTATATCTCTAGCCTGTTATTGTGTGTCCTTACCACAAACAAAGACCTGTTCTTCTCTCATTTTCCTGCTGTTGATGCTGCCTGTGTAACGGGCTTGATAGCTCAGATAAGACCTGCTACTTTTGTCCTTGAGCCTATTCCTACAATCCTCCTGAAAACTAAACTACTTCTCTGCTTTTCGTCCGTTTGTTACCGACATGGCCTTAGTCTTGTAGGCTTGTACTCATTTGTTTTATTTCCAACATGCATTTTGTAACAAGTTCTGGAATTTCTGGAACAAGTTAAATTACAGTTGATGTCTCTAAACCTTTCCTGTCAGAGCTTAAACAGAGCTGCAGCACTGAAACCCCTGTTAAGCCATACGTGGCTTCTGACTCTGGGTCCCTTAGTACCCTCCTGCTCCTGGACTGTAGGTGTCATTTACAGCATTCTGCTAGGCAACGTGGAAAACTGGGATCACTGGCTCTGCCCTTCATTGATTTGGCTTCTATTTGATTGTTTTACATCCCCTCTGTGCTCTAGGTGTTCCCAGGGTCCTGCTCCAGGTCCTGTACTGATAGGATCCACATGGTGCCTCTTAGTCAGATTGTTTGACATCATGAACTTGGGTTTCACTGCTAATCTGATGACACCCAGGTTTATTTGAAGACCAAATCAGATCTCAATTCCCTCACCTTACAGGTGCCTGTCTTATATGGGGATCTGAATCACAAGAGTCACAAGATTCATTGTTGGCAAACAAGGGATATGAATGAGCAGGAGGAGGAACTAAATAACTAACAGACATAATCAACTGACATACAGCAAATTTGTATTTTACAAAACAAATCCCCATCTATTGTAAATATTGTAAGTGATGTCCTTTATCTCACCTGTAATGTTCTAATCAGGAGAGTGAGTCTTTTGGGTTGTTGGTGCTACAGAGCTTCTGAACAAGTGGATCTGTAATTGCCCAGATCTGAACAATTGGGAAGAACATTGTGTGTTTAAATGTGCTGTGATTGGCTTAATCTGAAGAAGTGGGAGGAACCTTGTGTGGTTAAATGTGCTGTAATTGGCTGAACCTTAACAAGTTAAAAGTTAAGTGGAACTAGTTAGTTGTTTAGTAGATGATGTTAGTAGTTAATGGGTTTTCAACAGTCAGTTGGTGGTGTAAACCTTGGCAGAAGATGCTTGTTATTTAGAGGCTACCTGTAAAATGAGTGTTGATTTTGATGTGTGATTCTACAATGCTTGATATACAGGGGGAGACCAAGTGATTTCGATAATATACAACCATATTTTACCATTGTGAAAGCAATCCTATTTAATCTTTTACCATGAATACCCAGGCCTTTCACAGCTGGTGCTTGCTCCCAGCTCAGGACCAGCTGGGTTTGGGTGGACAGATACTGTAGGCAGACAGAGCCAGTTGGCAACGTTGGTGCTTCAAAGACAGATACTGTACCAGGGGCTCGTCTGATACTGCATTGATACAGATGGAATAATTATTGATGCATTTAATAAAAATTGGCAAGCACTGCTGTGAAGGTTTATATTAAGACAGCGTCCAGCCTGGTGCTGTGGTGGAAGCTGTGTTTGGCTGAATGGCCCAATATCCTTGTATATCACCCTGAGTCTGAGACAGAGACGCAGAGCTCCGAGCTGCAGTGTGCTGGGAGCCTGAGTCACTGCTCATTTCATTGCCAGCTTCAGTTAAAAGAAACATGCTTTAATTGTCTTTCTGACTAATCTCCAAACCGCTTCATTCATTTGGCTTGTTCATTGAGCTTGAGCCCTCTGTGTCTACAAGGGACCTTCTATCCCCAGATTGCAACACTGCCATTATCAGTTCGCTTCTTTCCAGTTCACATCACTGGAGAGATACTGTCCAAGAGGAAGGAAAACACGAAACACTGATTGCATTTCGGAAAATTAATCTTAGTAAGCAAAAGGTTAAGGCACAAGAATGCTACTTTTTTGAGACAGAAATCTTTCTAGGATGGCTGCTTCATCCCGGATTCCCAGCAGCATACTTCAAAAAACTCCTCACAGATGCGATGGGAATTCTGGGATGTTAAGAAGAAGACAGATGCTGACCTTTGCTGCTGCAGGCCTGGGCAGAGGCTGGCAGATGTCAGGCTGAAGACTAATATTCAGAGATTATCTGTCGGTTTGCTCATTCAGGGACAGAAAATTAATAGCCTGCAAAAAGGTACAGTAGCTGCTGAAAGGCTGCCTGACTTGCATTTGTTTCATTTTTATGCGTGACTTACAAAGCAATTTTGTATTGTTTAAAAATATAATTTACCTCCTTTCCTAATTAAAACCTCAAAGTTGTGATTTTATTTAAAGTACATTTAACCTCAGTTCCTAACGTTTCCCCTTTGATATTGCAAAATATATTTTTTAAACATTCCAGAAGTATTTTAAATAACAGTATTAAATAACAATGTTCCAGTAGTATTTTAAGGAAGTACCCTAGCCCTCTCCCTGTTCTGATCCCCCTCATCAGCAGCTGTTAAGACTTCTTCCTCTTTGTCTCTAGCTTGTCCACTGTCTGATCAGGAAACACAGACAGTGCTCACGTCAGAATCCAAGTGATTGTACGTCTGTCCACCTGCAAAAACACAGATGGTAGAAATGTAATGCAGATGTTGGTGATGATCCCTTTGCCTTTCTCTCCCATCCCCGGTCAAATGTCTCCTCCACTCCTGTCTGGATTAAAATAGTCTTAGCTCCTGCAACAAAAATGCTAAATCACTTCAGCAAATGTTTGATTTGGGTTATGATAATGTTTTTCCAGGCGATAAGTTATCACTGCTAAAACATTCCTTGAGTGAGCTGAAAATGGCTCCAAGCAGATGTCTTCCACGTCTAGCCGAGGAGAAGCTCTGTGGGTCACCGATGCGCCATGTCTGAACTGCAGGTTTCCTCTAGGGCTCCCTGTGTCACCCTGACCTGCTCATGAAAGATGCCAAGCTGAACACCCAAGATGTAGAATCCCTGGCTACTAGTCTGTTTGTATGTAAGAGCATGTGTAAAAAGGCACAATTCCATCGTGTCCAGTGGGTCTGAACCACAAGATCTAGAAAGAGCAGCAGGGGTGCTGACCTTTAACCTTTCTGAATGAGAATCCATAAAGCTGTACTCTGTGCCCTAGAACTTTGCAGGCATGATGTAGAACCAATCACAGTGTGAATTTGTGTATTATTTGTATCAGGGCCGGCCCAACCTAATGCAGGACTTTCACGTGACTCTTGGTCATAAAACTAGTCCTGTTCTCAGTCCATTTTCATCAGAATTGCTCCCACGTTTCATAAAACCAGGCTCTTCTTTAAATGTGTTGTTCATGCCTCTTCTAGACAGTCGAGCAGGTTAATTCCACAGCCCCCACAGAGAAGAGAAGAGGACGCGAAAGGCTATTCTGTTTCAGAAGAAGATTCTGTTTCTGTTTCTTGACCCTAGCTAGGTGATGATAAAGGTCTTCGTCTCTCACCCGGCAGAAACGCCAAGCTGCAGAAACCCAGCCAACACACACATATATATTTACAAAATAAAAACGTCTTCTCCAAGTGGGTCTGACTCCATTTGGAGAGAATGTGAGAACAGTCCCTCACATTGCAACTGCCCAGGGCCACGACCTGCAATGAGCCTGTCACCAGAGCCTGACAGGAAGGGAGAACAGGGGGTTTATGACACAACAGACTGAGCCCCACTATAGGAGCGTTAGAGGTACAGGGGGTAACAATCAAGAGCAATATACGCTCCTAAAGTGAAGCAGGAAGTACAGAAAAAACCATACACTAGACAAGACTAGAAAGACTAGAAAGAAGTTTCAGATTTGGGGTTTATTTGCTGCTGTGAGGGTTAAAATGGAGGAATCAGGCCTTTTGAGAGCACACTTTATGAAACTGGCAGGAGGGACTAAAAAGATATGTGTGATTTCATTAAGGATGTCAGACACTAAGGTGTTTATTACAAAACTGTTTAAAATCACTGGTGTCAAATCTATTAAGAAATATGCCCACATGAAGACCTGTCTTCTACATATGTGATTAGCCAACCCTTGGGGAAGTAGAAGTCCACACACCTCAGCCTGGAGGTGTGATCTTCCATTAAAGAGAAAGAACAAAAGAAATGAGCTTGCTGACAGGAATCCTTTCACTGGATTAACACAGGGATAATTTACTATTAGCCATGA